GAGAAATCAGCCCGACAAGATAGAGTTGCCTAAAGGCCTCAGGCTTGTATGTGGCGGTCGGGTAGTTCAATTTCAATCCTGATTAGTTAATACTAATTCGCAATATACGTAGTTTTAAGATACATTTCAGAACAAGAAATCGGTATTTTAAGGCAGCTAGGACACAGCGATGGTTTCTATATGGGAATAACTGGTTATGCAATGCTAGTACTTTGTATGAATCTAACTGTACAGATATCTGGGCGACAAAAACACCTCGTCAGCCCGTACTGTAGGGCCCCAGTGAAATCGCCCGGATTGAACAGAACCTATTTACACTCTGACCTTGAGCCACGGCACAATCAAGGTTACAATATACATACAAGACCTGCGGACAGAGTAGCCATTGGCTGCAGCAGCTACAGAAATACGGACATATTGAACTGTGGACTTAAGTTGTCTTAAAATACAATTGCGATTTTTACCTGTAATAGAGAGGACAGGGCTTCAGTACATGCGGATGATGAGTGAGGCTTGTTGGCAGTTATCTAACGCTTTTGCTAGTGAAAATATGCAGAAAAATATATAGAGGATTCCGTGTAATACCAATTTTATTAAACGAGTTACTAAATCTTTCAAGAGTTTAATATAAATGGTATTTCGCGGAAGCGAGTTTAGTATTCTGATATAACTCTCCAACATAAATTGATAGAAACTGCCTACAGTGTGATGACTCTCATATCAATTTCTCCGCGAGTCAAGCAAGGTCTAATACCATTGTGGTATTAGCATTGTGACGTCATAAATGTAACCATTATGACGTCATATGTCTAGCGGCATTACACTAGTTTAACATTGTCGTAAAAATATTACACTGCATTATAGCTAAAATACATGGAATTATCATGAAACGGCCCTCCCATTATCAGAAATTTGCGGTCCGCTGCAAATGATATTGGACCGCTCAACCTTAACGACGGGCCACTATCAGTTCTGTTGTCAAGTGACGTCATAGTTCGACATTAATTTGCTTTCGACTGACAGATATTCTGGGTCAAACAAGTCAAAGCAACCCAAATTCCCGCTTCAAATAGCGGTAATATTGGCTTTCTTGCTGGTGCTAACCTTAACAATTGCACTATTAAGACTGTTGATGGACCAAAACCGAACACTGTCTTAGTTTGACATGCTGCAGGCTATGGTCTTGTCAAAGGCCAAGGTCGAATATCGTCACTTTCTGTTGTGACGTCACTTGAATTGTTCGATGACGTAATTGCATTCGGGCAGTCAGGCCCGTCAGAAGTTGATTTTGGTAAACTTACAGTCAAATTCCTTCATTGTTTCCTTTTCTTTTCAACACAAATTCCATGTATTTTAGTTAATAACGGTAATGCTATTTTTGAGGGCATTATCATTTGCAGAAGCCCTCGGTCTTTTTCAACTGCCCTCCTTCGTCGGGCAGTTAATGGAAGACCTCGGGCTTCTGCAAATGATAATGCCCTCAAAAATAGCATTACCCTTATATTATAGCTAAAATACATGGAATTATCATGAAACGGCCCTCCAATTATCAGAAATTTGCGGTCCGCTGCAAATGATATCGGACCGCTCAACCTTAACGACGGGCCACTATCAGTTCTGTTGTCAAGTGACGTCATAGTGGGTGCGTGGGCTTACGGTTCATTCGACATTAATTGGCTTTCGACTGACAGATATTCTGGGTCAAACAAGTCAAAGGAACCCGAATTCCCGCTTTAAATAGCGGTAATATTGGCTTTCTTGTTGGTGCTAACCTTAACAATTTCACTATTAAGGCAGTTGAAGGACCAAAACCGAACACTGACATAGTTTGACATGTTGCAGGCTATGGTCTTGTCAAAGGCCAAGGTCGAATATCGTCACTTTCTGTTGTGACGTCACTTGAATTGTTCGATGACGTAATTGCATTCGGGCAGTCGACCCCGCCAGAAGTTGATTTGGGTAAACTTACAGTCAAATTCCTTCATTGTTGCCTTTTTCCTTTCAACACAAATTCCATGTATTTTAGCAATAATAACGGTAATGCTATTTGTGAGGGCATTATCATTTGCAGAAGCCCTCGGTCTTTTTCAACTGCCCTCCTTCGTCGGGCAGTTAATGGAAGACCTCGGGCTTCTGCAAATGATAATGCCCTCTCAAATACCATTACCCTTATAGTATCTTCCACGGGCGAGTAATATATAGAGAATACTACACGAGGTCTCATTACATACGAATCATACGAAACGAGTGTCCTTCCTATGGTATCTGACCGAGCGAAAGCGAGGTCAGATAACATAGGAAGATCACGAGTTTCGTATAATTCGTATGTAATGAACCGAGTGTGGTATTTTATTTATTACCCACGTCTTACATGCATTTAAATTGACAAAATAGCGTATTTTGTTATGTTTTGGTTTCAAACCGAAACCGGTTTCATAAAGAGGTTGCGGAAGAGTTTTGTACTATAGTACAATATTTGCATGACGTCACACTAATGACGTCACTGCCATGGTAACCGACGTCACGATGCATGTCAGTTGTCATCGCCTCGTACAGCCTCGTACAGTAAACTACTCCGTTGCACCTCGTTTCTTGGTTTCCAGTTGCTTCATTCGGCTAACATCACTGGTGGAAACATTGCGTTTATGTTTTTCGACAGATATAATGTCTCAGTTCGAATCACAATTAAACAGCGACACGGCAACGTTCGCAATGTTTACATTCCCACAATGCATTTAAGTTGTAGAATGAATGAATTCACGTGTTTGTTATGAATGAAAAAATAGTTACGTCAGAATGTGACCTAATTGAGAGGTCATCGGTTATCCAATCAAATCGTTAGAATTTCAGGTCAAGTCGTTACGACACAGGTCAACGCGATACGACACTCGTGTGACGTACGAGATTAATATGCAACTACCCATACGTTGACCACGTGGGTAATAAATAGAGAATACTACACGAGGTCTCATTACATACGAATTATACGAAACGAGTGTCCTTCCTATGGTATCTGACCGAGCGAAAGCGAGGTTAGATAACATAGGAAGGTCACGAGTTTCGTATAATTCGTATGTAATGAGACCGAGTGTGGTATTTTATTTATTACCCACGTCTTACATGCATTAAATTGACAAAATAGCGTATTTTGGTTATTTTTTGGTTTCAAACAGAAACCGGTTTTATAAAGAGGTTGCGGAAGAGTTTTGTACTGTAGTGCAATATTTGCATGACGTCACACTGTAATGACGTCACTGCAACGTTCGCAATGTTTACATTCCCACAATGCATTTAAGTTATAGAATGAATGAATTCACGTTTTCGTTATGAATGAAAAAATAGTTACGTCAGAATGTGACCTAATTGAGAGGTCATCGGTTATCCAATCAAATCGTTAGAATCTCAGGTCAAGTCGTTACGACACAGGTCAACGCGATACGACACTCGTGTGACGTACGAGATTAGTATGCAACTACACATACGTTGACCACGTTGGTAATAAATATTGTCACGTCACATTAGGAACACCATTCTAGACACTCTCCTACCCAGAGTTCCATATGTTAAGTCATCGCTGTGCCGGAGTGTGCATTCTAGAGCGATAAGGCTAAAGCTTACAATGGTTTAACATTGGTTTGAACTTATCTATGAAGTATTCTACCATAAGCTAATTCGTATCGTATTGATTACAGAAAGGTCAGCTTCTTTCACACAATGGCATATTGTTACTACTACATATCAAATTCGCCACTCCCACACACTGACTCACTCATTCAAGTATTCCCTTAACCTGACTTCAATCCATACCTGTCAAATTATGCAGGTTGATCGTTTCGCTGTTATTCGCTAATACACAAGCAACATTAAACGTGTGGTTTGAGTTGTTAGGGAGCTGTGAATTTCCTTTAATCATTCCCAGCCGGTCCTCTTAACGTAAAAACTTCAACGTTTATAAAAAAGAACATAACACGTCGACATTTAACAAACGGGGCAGTGTGATCGTTTTTATTTTTCGAGGGTTTCCCATAAAGATCATGGCCTGATTAGCCATATTTCCATCTTCGAGAATCTAATTAAGTTTACGTTTGGTGGGAATAACGACAGACGCGGGAGGCATGCGATCATATTGAATTTCACCCGAAACGAAACGTGTGACCTGAGGGATAAACCGAACAGTTATCATTTTGGGTCGTTTGAAAAGTTCACAAAGTCTTCCTTGTGTGTGATTTTTCAATGTCACAAAACCTTGACCTTTTAGATAACGGCATATATGATACTGGTGTTTAACAGTTCCTGTTAAAAATGGCGACAGAAGGTGACAAGGACTCATTTATGTGATACGGCTTAAAGGTGGAGTTGTATATGTTGCTGTGGAGGCTGGGGATGTGCGACGTTCCCTCACGAACTCACATGCAGGTGGAACTGGCGCTGAGGTAAATGTCGCCGTTGAAGGTTTTAAGTTCTGTCGCAATCAGGCTGTGAGTGTGTGACAGTCGGTGTATCTATGTCTGTACGTGCGTACGTATGAGAGAGAGAGAGAGAGAGAGAGAGAGTATGTCTGAGAGAGAGAGAGAGAGAGAGAGAGAGAGAGAGAGAGAGAGAGAGAGATCCCGAGTAGGTCACCTGGGTTACAGAAGATCACTTCTAATCACAGGTCAGTAATGATATTGATTGTGACAATTTAGTGTGGGGAGACGTCAGCATGGTACAGCGAGCATCTCAGATACACATACTTGTGACGTCGCACCTTAACTATATACAATAAACTATGCATGATGACTGAGCGTGCAGACGGAATATTTAGCATTCCGAGAGTGTGCGTACATGCATGTGTCTATTAATATTGTCGCAGAGTGACTTAACAGCGTTCGGTTTGGACACCATATAAACGTTTATGAATTACTCTCTCTGTCTCTCTCTCTCCTTTCTCCGACGTTGTGGTAACGCGATACGCCCTAGTAATGCAACCCCTCCTCACGACCGACACACATCAATATATCATATCACCTCCTGGCCATCGCCTTCTCTCTCACGCGTGTTGTGTTAGCCGCGAGCGAGGAGACATGACTAATACATCGTCTCCATGTCGGATATCTTCACGGAAACGTGTTCACGCCGCTTAGTAACCTCTTGTCTCTCTATCTTTGCCAGTCAGTTAAAATATAACAAAACAAAACAACCATACCACCTTAGAATGAGAATCCAAGTTACACCGGAAAAGCTGACGGATACTATTTAATCAACACTAAAGGCACAACGTACGAAGTAGCAAGGAATGTAAGGTAAGATTGTGTTTGTTCGCTGTTTAACACCGCGGTAATCATTATTCAAGCCATATGACGGAGACGTATAAAAGTATAGCCTTGTAGCAGATAATCCCGGAGACGTTACAAGAGTATAGCCCTCTAGCAGATAATCCCGATTGTTGTTGTGGGAGAACAACTGACGCCGTCGGAGTACAATGACGTCGTGACTGTATGTGACCACCTTTTCATTAAGTCGGTTGCTGATACCCATTGACACCCGTAATATATGCATTGGTTATTCACTTCTGTAGTAGTGAAAGCCAAAATTACATTAAAGCTAAGTCATAGAGTCCACGTTATTATCTGTACTGCAGTCATTCGGTGTAACCCTTTAATGATAAGTCTGTCTGGAGCCATATGTAGGTCATGCTGCTCTATTGTGTGAGATGTATTAACAGTTTCACGCTGAACACAGACATAAGAAAACAAGTAAAATCTAACGCCTTTGGCAAATTTGGAGTATACACTGGACCAAAAGAAACTGTACACGAGGTTCGGTGAGGGGCTTTACATGAAACAAAAACAAAAAGTTATTGAATGATGAATTTGATTTGGGTAACATATTAATATTTGGGAGGTGAATTTCGGTGACTTTTTTCAACCCAGTAGTTAAAACGTTTGTAATTCTATAAAACGCATGTATATTGGGGAATCAGCTCGCTTGGCAAGAGGTACCACTACTAACCACACACAACACAAGACCGCAGTGAATAAACGTGAGTTTATTAGGCAGCCTCTGAATGCATATACATAATTAGTCTTCTGGAATAAACATTCAAGTTTTATTAGACATTATAATCATTTATAGAAGTTCATATATACCGCGAACCGCAATGCTATAAAATATGGATTTAATCTAGTAGAGATCTAAATTTTCATGTATTTTCATATATACCTCAGGTACATATATGCCATTTCCTTGTTGTGGTGTTCCCATGTCAGTTTGAGTTTGTTTGTTTGTTTAAACCCTCCACTCTATTCCACGCCATATTGTACTTATGTGTGGGCGTCATGACTGCCGGGTCGGTTTATACTCGTTCTCACTCAACATGCACATTTACTCTATTTCGTTGTCGCATGATTGTAAGTGCAAAAATATTGAGCTTCTTCACAAAAGTTAGTTTGGAAATAAAGATACATGTGGTATTCTGCGTTAATTTACCATTACCATTTCCAAGATACATAAAAGATATATTCTTACGATAGGTATAACATGATCCCATTTTAGTTAAAAGTTGCATGTCACCAGCGACGGTGTATATATTTGTTGCATACAAAATAACACTATAACTATAGTGATAGTGAATGTTATCGCTTCATGCATCATGTGGAAGATATCATGCTAAATTGTACTGTGAGGTAGTCATTTAACCTAATATTTGAAGGTAATTTGAATTTTTAATGAAATACCACAGTCGCCAATTCTTTTGTATTTTACGTTATGCTCCAGAACAAAGAAAACAAAATCAATAGAGAAAAAAATGTTCATCCTGTAACTTTAAGAAACTAATCGTTCATGCTTTGTTGAAGACACTGAACATTAAATCCATACGTTGTAATAACCTGTTAAACTATAAATATGTTGGGAAGATACAATCACATACAGTATAGATAAGGGTGTATTTTACGTTACGACTTTATAAGACCTCATACATAACCTGAGCACACCTATATGATCATCTGGTAAGGAATATGCAGCCTTGTTCCTTTTCCTGTCTTCTATATTCTCAATATATCATTTGCGTGGCTCATGATAATGGCTGATGTATTTTACGTTACGTTACGTTACGGTATTTTACGTTACAGTTCCATATATAGAGAATACTACACGAGGTCTCACCGAGAGAAAGCGAGGTCAGATAACATAGGAAGGTCACGAGTTTCGTATAATTCGTATGTTATGAGACCGAGTGTGGTATTTTATTTATTACCCACGTCTTACATGCATTAAATTGACAAAATAGCGTATTTTGGTTATGTTTTTGGTTTCAAACCGAAACCGGTTTCATAAAGAGGTTGCGGAAGAGTTTGTACTATAGTACAATATTTGCATGACGTCACCCCGTAATGACGTCACTGCCTTGGTAACCGACGGCACGATGCATGTCAGTTGTCATCGCTTCGTACAGCCTTCTACAGTAAACTACTCCGTAGCACATCGTTTCTTGGTTTCCAGTTGCTTCATTCGGCTAACATCACTGGTGGAAACATTGCGTTTATGTTTATCAACGGATATAATGTCTCAGTTCGACTCACATTTAACACCGACACGGCAACGTTCGCAATGTTTACATTCCCACAATGCATTTAAGTTGTAGAATGAATGAATTCACGTGTTTGTTATGAATGAAAAAATAGTTACGTCAGAATATGACCTAATTGAGAAGTCATCGGTTATCCAATCGAATCGTTAGAATCTCAGGTCAAGTCGTTACGACACAGGTCAACGCGATACGACACTCGTGTGATGTACGAGATTAGTATGCAACTACCCATACGTTGACCACGTGGGTAATAAATGGCTATTAACATCACATAATGTGCTTACGCCACTAACAAATTTGACGCTATGAAAACATGTTGCGTCATTCATGTTGATTTCAATGTGCGTGCTGCTCATGATCTGAAGTTCTGACGGGTTAAATCATCGGTATGTAAGTACTGAACTTTCAACCTTACATGTATGAATCTTGTATATGTGTGCACGCCAAACTGTTAAACGTTTAACAATGCGTGTAAAGAAGACATTCTAATGAGATGTATCATGTATAATCATGCTCGGTAATTGAAAACATAATGAAATTACCATATGGTATTCGTAACGTAAAATACAGTTGCTGTAACGTAAAATACAGTTGCTGTAACGTAAAATACAATTGCTGTAACGTAAAATACAATTGCTGTAACGTAAAATACAGTTGCTGTAACGTAAAATACAATTGCTGTAACGTAAAATACAGTTGCTGTAACGTAAAATACAATTGCTGTAACGTAAAATACAGTTGCTGTAACGTAAAATACAGTTGCTGTAACGTAAAATACAATTGCTGTAACGTAAAATACAATTGCTGTAACGTAAAATACAATTGCTGTAACGTAAAATACAGTTGCTGTAACGTAAAATACAATTAGATTGTACTGACGTTAAATGAACATAAATGCCTATATAATCCAACGTTTGTTGTAAACGTTTGTTAAAGATATGTAATTAATTTATTTGTAATTGCAGTGTTCTCAACATGACAAAAACTGCAGCCGTTATGTTTGACAGTATTTTACGTTACAATTGTATAAAATGTTTCTTACCTTACAGTGATACATTTGATAACCACGATGGACAAATAAATATATTTCCAGGTCGCATACCTCCTTGACGTTGTCTATAAATATACAAATGCCAGCGTAAGGCATTCAGTATTGCTTTAGATGAACTAGAGAATCTATTTGGAAATTCTTGTTTGAAGTTTCACCAATTGTCAGTATAACGGTCAAATTCTATTTAACATCTGATTACTCTTTTAATTCATTTGTGTTGAAATTAAATTTAGTTTGATAAAGGATTTAAGCAAACAATTGAAACAAGTTGTACTATAGTTTTACTTATATCTAACATTAAATTATTTTGTGTCACGTTAAATACACTAGAAAATACCCCCACTGATAGTAACTGCCGTTTATTAACGAACCATAAGACATTGTATCCTGTCATTCTGTACATGGGTCAAGTAAATAATACTTGTCGTCATATCGAAAAATTGTGTTCAGATAAAAACATTTTTTTTCTATTTCCGTGATCACGAATGTGCACACTGACTGAGAATGAGTGTTTGTCATGTCACGCATATGATGTTGGGTATGTGTTCGTATTCTGATTCCAACCGGTTCTGGATCATCCCCACTATCCTCACTTACACTAATCTGTTGGTGAAGTAATACGGGTGATTTCAGGAATAACAGTACTGTCCTGCGTATCGACGACTCACTGTATAACCCCTTTAAACTATTTACCGTTATGTCAACAAAATACCCGACCACTCCAGAAAATAGGGGACATTAACGAGATCTCGGGTTTCACGGCCTACACTTGAATAACAGTAGTAAGTGTGATATATCCCGCTCTGCACGAACTCATTCATTCCTCTGAAAGCATGTTTGATATTGATAGTGAACAAACATGACCTAGAATATGTCTAGTAGATATCGAAATGCCTGTAGGAGTTACCGGAAGCTGCAGATTTCCACAGGTCCTGACAAACAAACGTCAGTTGTGATTATACACATTCTGCTATTGAATTTCACGTAGGGTCATGTGGAGGCTTAAATGTCATCAACTGTATATAATTGAAGAACCTGATTCATTACTAACAGGGAACAATAGAGGAACAAGGTTGTGAGGGACAGACCAGGTTAGACTCAATAATATCCAAGGTATGTTTCGGATTGGAATGTTTCTGTTCGATTTCATCTTCGTTGAGGTAGCTACATTTCTTTATTTTTGATGTTGTTAGTGAGTGGGGGCGGTGGGGTAGCCTAGTGGTTAAAGCGTTGGCTCGTCACGCCAAAGACCCGGGTTCGAATCCCTACATGGGTACAATGTGTGAAGCCCATTTCTGGTGTCCCCCCGCCTTGATGTTGCTGGAATATTGCTAAAAGCGGCGTAAAACCAAACTCAGTCAGTCAGTTGTTAGTGAGTGATCGCGTGAGTGAGATAACCCTCAGAGAATACGACCAAAGCATTGTTCTTTGGGGTTCATATTGTAGCAACCTTCTTATAAAAGGGGCGGTGGGGTAGCCTAGTGGTTACAGCGTTCGCTCGTCACGCCGAGGTACATGGGCACAATGTGTGAAGCCCATTTCTGATGCATAGTCAGATTCCACGGTCAGGTTGCGCTGTTCCAATGTGAAGATACCTACAACCACAGTTTCAGACGTTCAGATGATCACAGCAAGGTTTAAATGAGGATGGCAGCCCACCG